ACTCTTCCTGGAGCACAACACAGATTAGGTTACTGGTCCTACAGCATGAAATAAGCTGGGAAATGGGCTGTGGGTTGTGGTAGCAACTGAATTTTGCAGACTGGAGTGACAACAGTATCTTGGGCTTACAGCAGCAATGACACAGTTGAGAGAGTCATGTGTGTGAATACACTCTGTGCTGCTGATCAATTCACATTCAGGTAAGAAAAAGACAGCATGCTTTCTCCTCCAACTTTTTGATAATCTCATAAATATATATGATCTCATTAATTTTCATAACTGATAGCACACAAGCAGATATTTTTGAGGAAGGCAGAAGAGGCATTTGGTTAACTCCTGGATGAAAAAGGGTAAAAATGAGGACTGCCTGTTCAGAAATGGAAAAGAAAGAGTCACGAATATCTGAACTGAATAATCTTCTCCAGCATAGCAGTCTCCAAAAAGCAAGGACAAAGCACTGTTGCAAAGCAGTACTAAGCCGTGACAAGACTGCATGAAAGAGGGCACTGACTCCCAGTTCAGGTAGATGATATGATTGTTACCATGGGAATGAAATTGGTACAAGGAGATGAACACAAAGAAGTCTTCATCAGGAACAAAAAACACAAATGAGTTTATGACCTCTAACTTCACCATCTAGATAACATCCATTACTGCCCTTGTCCTCTCACAGTGTGCCTTCTCCATGTGCTCATTTCATCTGAACCACTGGCTTTTTGCTTTTTCAGAGCTGCATTTTCATGTTCTGACTCGACAGACAGGTCCCTCTTGTGTTGGCTCTTTTGCTTTGCTGCAGCTCTCAGGGCAGAATCCAGTGCTCTGCGCTATGACAGCGGGATCATCATCCTCCTAACAACAGCAGCACTCCTCGATGCTTTGGTTGCAATAAAGGTCCCTCACCTCTTCACTGATACCAAAGTCACCTTGTCCTTTCCAGCATTAAATCATGACTGACTCCTCCGCAGAAAGCTGGTTCACGTCAGATAATCTACAAGGATTATGTCCTGTTTGCACTTGAAACAATCAGAATTATCACAGACAGAAAGGTTTGCAGCCTTCTCTGATTTGTTGACACCTGTGTGATGAATTTAAGCTTTCTAAAAACACTGTGCTTGCTTAGTTTTTTGTGGATGCCAAGGATCTGTGGACTGTATGTTAAAAGCAACTTGCCAGTACAGCAGAGCTTGATGCTGGGAGCATGGTGTAAATTATGTCAGTGTAACTGGGTTTATTTCTACAGTGCCCATCAAAGATAAGCTTGATCCTCAGAAAATATTCTTCCTTTCTCTTCTTTTCTATCTGCCTGGATCTGGAGGACATGAGCCTGTTTTAGCATTCATGCAAGCAGACATCATATAAGAAAACCCCCACACTAAATATTTATTACAGATGGGTTTACCACTAAGCAGTGCAAATATTACATGCCTACTGTCATCCTGCTCTGTAGCAGTGCATTTTTTTCCCCACATGCTGTCTCCCACCCCTTGTGCCAGAGTCACCAGTCAGAGGACACAGTTGCAGAGACAGTGCATGGAAGCTCAGCAAAGAAACTGCAGAACCGAAATCATTAAGATGCAGCTCCCCTAATACTGAAGAAATAGCTCCTCCTGAAGGCAAAAATCTAGACCTGTGACTTTTTAAGTTATTTGAACTTTTTGTGGTTTTGCATTGCATATAAGAAAATAATATTTTATTATACTTGCACCGTATTGAGCCCTAAGCCCAGAAATAAAGAACGTACAGAATCACAGAGTTGATTAAGATGGAGAAGACCTCTGACATCAAGTCCAACCTTTGAGTGAACACTGCCTTGTCAACTAGACCATGGCACTAGGTGCCACATCCAGCCTTTCCTTAAACACCTTCAGGGTTGGTGACTCCACCACTTCCCTGGGCAGCTTGATAACCCTTTCTGTGAAAAAATTCCCCCTGATGTCCAGTCTGAACCTCCCCTGGTGCAGTTTCTCTGTCCCTTCTCTGGACACACTCCAGCACCTCAATGTCCTTCCTGAACTGAGGGGCTCAGAACTGGACATGGGACTCGAGGTGTGGCCTCACCAGTGCCAAGTACAGAAGGACAATCACTTCCCTGGTCCTGATGGACACGCTATTCCTGATACAAGCCATGTGCCATTGGCCTTCTTGGACACCTGGGGACACTGCTGGCTCATGTTCAGCTGCTGTCAACCAGCATCTCTGTGTCCTTTTCCATCACACAACTTTCCAGTCACTCATCCCCAAGCCTGTAGCAAACGCATGATCCCAGTGCAGGAACCAGCACTTCTCCTTAGAGACCTTTCCTATTAAACATGCCATAAGTTCTGTGACATCATTACTGTAACTACACAGGGTATTTAGAAAAACAAACTATTGCTAATAGTAGCTGATATTTTAAGGGATAAGACTAAACAACTGACTATGCACAAGAATTAGCAAATCATACGGGGAGTTTCCCTAAAAAACAAGATCAATTTAGAAACATACCTCTCACCGTGGGTTATGGTAAAACAGGTATAAAAAAGACAATATTGAAGTTTTTTTCCATTCTGTTCATATCTTATAAGTATAAAAATTTTCTCTTGTGATTGAAATGAACAGTTAATTTCAATTAAAAAATCTTGTGCTCACTGACATGAGAATAAAGTCATCTGGAGGTTGCATACAAAGCATAAAGGGGATGTGCACACACACCCATTATGGTAGGATTCTCAGTATTAGGAGGAGGTTTAATTTATGACTCAACATTTTCCAATGTTATATGTGCAAATATACATGTTGTGCACACACACACACACACATATATATGTATTTATAAAGCCTTAAAAGTTTTCTGTTGGTGATATCTGGGTGTTACTCAGTTTTTTCAGCTGTTCACACTGACAGCATAAACCCCGGGTTTAATTTGTCTTGGAATTTATTATTGCAAAAAAAAAAATCTCTGAAATGCTCCCTATGTGAGTGTCGTATTTATTACAGATAACCATCTGCCTTTTCTTTTTATTTTGAGCTGACTTCTCAGTGGGACTGACCCCATGCAGTGAGTCAGTGCCCACTCCATGATTACAAGACTGAGGCTTTTCTTTTTGCTCTTTGAACTGTTTCTTAAGAGTAGAGGAACAAGGGAAAAAAATATCTGTAGAAAATGTTTTGTTATTTGATAGACCTTTAGGAATATCTCAAAAAGTAAATACTTCTAAAATGGCTAATTTTTGGGAGTTCTAAGTAGTCTCTGAACTGATTTTGTATTTCCCAATACTGCCTTCATCCAACTAATGACAGTCTGAAAGATCCAGCATTTGGGAGCAGTGGTAGAAATACCCACTTTAGGACATGTTGGGCCTGTAAAGGAAAATACATCTTCGTTTCTGACTAGTTTACTTAAACTTCTAGAAGTAGAAAATGTGTTACATTAGTGTTTCTGTCCCAATAAAATGAAAAACAATTTAGTTCAGGTTAGTTTTTTATTCCCAGAGCAAACATTCTAAATCATTACTTTGCTTTTATATAATAAATCCATTATATACATCAGAATTTGGGGATGTTATGGCCTAGATTTCCTTTAAATTAGATGAGAAGAAGAAAATATCAAAATTGACAAAAAATGTCTTAATCTTGAGAGTTGGTCTTTTTTTTTTTCATAATGCCTGTGATAAGTTATGTTTGTCTGTACACAGGACTCTCTTGACCTGTCTGGAGTAGTCAGATATCTTATTTCTATTCAGACCTATATGGAAGTTTATCTAAACTTGCAAGAATGTGAGTATATAAAGTAATTTTTTAAAACAAATCTTTGGCATTCTGGAGTAAACACATTTATTTACTAGTATGTGCAACAACGAATTTCTGTATTTTCAAGATTTACACTGTGTATGCCACAGCGGTTCCAGTGGTTGTCATAAAGAATATACAGAAATATTAAACTTAATTTGTTTGAAGCAACTGTGATTTTCCCTACACAAAGTAATACCTACACAGAGTACGGAGGTTATTTAACATAAGGAGTTTCCAATGTTGTTTTAACTGTATTTTTACCTTAAACACTAATATGATTTCCAAACAAAACCATAGCCACAGAAAGTGACACTATCAATCCTAACTTTACTAGACCTGTCGTCATTTTTAGCCTGTAAGTTTTCACAAACTGTGAGCTCAAAGACTTGGAATTGCTACACTCTGAGGAACTTACTCACTCTCATGAAGAGGACAGTGAAATCTCTAATGAACACAGGCTATGCAGAGGCCCAGTTTGCTGCCTTTGGTCCCTACTATCAAAGCATTATATCCAATTCCTGCTACCTCAGTGCTGTTTTCTGTGTGCTAAACCAATTCTTTAGAAGTTTAGCTGTCATCAAAGACTCAACTTTTGGCCTACCCCTTTCTAACAAAATTCATCTGAAAAACGGTCAGAAAAAAATACAATAAAATTCCATAAGGACAAGAGCAAAGACTACCCTTGGGCAGGAATGGTTTTCACAATTACAAAAAAGTTCCCAAGTTTCAAATATGTAAAAAGCTCTTATCACTGATGCTGAGAAATAATTCAAACTGCAGTCAGGTTAGACATCACAAAGTTCTCTCACTACAAGGCTACTGAGCCTTGGTACAGACCTTTTCATCTCAGAAATTTTCAGTGACAGGAGACTCGCAATATCCACTGTCAGGAACAATATTGGTTTGAGCAACCTTGAATTTTGGCAGGCGATAGATCACAAGAGCAGTTACCTGCAGAGAGGAGGAGTGGTCTCTGGGGCCCTATCTAAGCCATCCTGGTAAGTTAACTGAGAAAAATGAACATATTGTCAGGTGTCTATTTTTTCTCTAGGAATCAGTGGCCCTCCAGAAAATTGGTGAAGCTCCAAAGCTGACAAAAATCACTTGAATAGACCAGCTTTTCTGTATTTGCATATGGGACACTCAGTCTGCGTGGGCTGATGTTGCATTCATTTGATTTGAAATATGATTGGCAATCGTTGAAAAATAGATCATTTTATTATCCTTACCTGGGTTCTCTTGTCCCATGTTTGTGATAAATGAGGTTAAAAACAGTATTTTAATTAGGATGTCCAAGTAAAGATCATTTAAATAGAGAACTGTTGCACCTGATTGTTCTGTGACCTCAAAGTTAATCATTATTTTCTTATTCTTAATTGGCTGAAAAAGGAAAGAATCAAAGATATGAACACTAGCTGCTAATGTAATGAATTAGATCCTAAACTTCTTACACATTTATCTGTTATCCAAATACTATTTTATAAGTAATCATCTTACAGTATTTTTAGGAGCAGCACTGATCTTATATTTTGTACTTTTTTCTCTGATCCCATGTAATACCTGCAACTTTCTGTAGTCATTAACACCCAGAAAGAATTAAGTGCTTTGGGGAGTTTTTAAATATAGGGGTTTTGTCAGACTATTTAGTTTAAACAACACATATAACCAATTATTTTTTCTTTTAAATGCCCAGTCTTAAACTACTTGCATTATTACTGTCGATTTACTTCAACTGAGGATTAGAAGATAGTGCCAACATAATTTCCTGTGTATATACTCAATTTAAAATCAATACTGTCCCATACAGAAGGATGGCTCTCCCTGTAAGAACTGCAAAGATTTAGTTTGGCTTTATGCTCACACTGTATTTTTCCAAAAGCAATTTTAATGTGTCTGCAAGATGCATACTGCTTTAATGCCAGCTTTCCAGTGCCACATGTACAGTTGGTAAAAACAGCTTTGACAGAAAAGATTCAAAACCTGGTTTAAACCCTTAGCTCTTCTTTATACAAAAGCAAAAAAAAAAAAAAATAAATCTGAAATCAGGTATTTCGGTCCCAGAGGCAATCACCTCTGAAGTCTGTGCAGAACATGTATCACCATGGAAAATGTTATGTCCTATCAGTATCTCAAAAAAAATTTATTTCAGTAATCTTTCTAGCAAAAGCAATTTTGGTGAATGCTATGAATTTTTTGTCTGCTCCCCCATTTCAGAAGCTAGCAAGTACATCCAGAAAAAATGCATTTCCTATTCAACTGTTTGGCCATAAAATGCAAACATAAACTTTCAGGATTAATAACAGTAGTAAAGTCAATATGTATTGTTTTAAGTTTACAGAACTTGCATGCAGACAAACTGGAAAAACCTCCAGGCTACTCCGAATCCTTTCCCCCTCCCCATAGTATTGGTATCATAAGCAAAATAACATATTCCCATTCTTGCTGCACATTTGGTACCACTACATTTCTAGTCAGTCTTGTCAACAAATATTTTCTTACTAAATTTCAAAGAAATATCATTAATTCCCCAACCATAAATTGTATGATATAGAATTACAGAATCATTAAAGTTGCAAAAGGCCTCCAAGATCAAGTCCAATCGTCAACTGAACACCATCCTGTCAACTAAAATATAGCATTAAGTGCCACATCTACTCATTTCTTGAACACCCCCAGGGATGGTGGCTCCACAACTGTCTTGGACAGCCCATTCCAATGCTTAACGACTCTTTTGGTGAGGCAATGTTTCCTAATATCCAAACTGAACCTCCCCTGGTGCAACCTGAGGCCACTGCCCCTTGTCCTGTCGATAGCTGCCTGGTAGAGAGTTGTAGAGGTCTCTCTGAGCACCCTCTTCTCCAGGCTAAACAACCTCAGCTCCCTCAGCTGCTCCTCATTGTGGTCCAGACCCTTCACCATCTCCGTGCCTCCCCTCAATGTCTTTCTCACAGTGAGCAGCCCAGAACTTTAAATACACACTTTGAATAAATCTATTTTCCTTATCAAACTTATACCAAAAGGTGAAATGTTTGTTATACTAACTAATAGGTACGAAGGATGTACATTTTTTTTTCTAAGAAATTCAAAATATGTTGGTAATGGTCAGAAACTTGTATGTTTATGTTTTGACAAGCACAAGTGCATATACATAAGCAGGAATAAAAAAAGGTACACAAGTGTACAAATACAAACCAATCCATATGAGCCTTTATAGTTTTCTAGGTGAAATCAAAACCCTATAACCATGTATCTTAAGCTTATTTCATAACAGCACCATCTTTTTTTTGAAGAGCAGAAGAGATGTAATTTTTTAAAATGAAAACATTTGAGTTCTCGCCACCCACCACCATCCAGCTACTTCTGCAACATAAACCTCCAAAGATTTATCAGTCAGAGCACAGCACTGAAATCCAGGTGGCACAATTAAGTTGCAGTTTATCTTACTATACATGATTTTATTGGCTCCCTCTAATGGAATTATAGGGCAAGGAAGGTGCTGATTATCATATCCATAAGCAAAATTTTGGTGAATTATTTATATTAACATTTGCTGTCATTATATTTGTCTGATACTACTCACAACATTAAATTAACTTCAACACTGTAAGTATTCATATCCATAAACATCACTTCCAATTTCACCCTTGTTTGTGTCTATGCTAAAAGAATTTGTTTGGCTGTTTGGTGAGGAAATACAACATCACATGACCGACTAACCAGAAAAACAATAAGGAATGCTCATAAACAAGGTATGAATACTTTTTGAAAAGGAATGTGCTATGTACACAGAAAGAGAATCCTGGTATCTGACAATGTGCAAGCACGACAAAGAACTAAATTCATATCCTTATTCGTTCCATTCCTTCAGGGAAACAAATATTTAATCTGTGTACAGTTGCACTGAATAAAGTCAGTGTTCTAGTTTCTCTGTGAGTGGTGAACTAGGCTTTAAGACCAAAGGAGTTTTTTAAAGGAGCCTGAAAGAAGTGAACCTTTTCCTGAATATATCAGCTAAAAAGAGATCTTAACAGCAGGAATAAATAATTTACAATATCAAAAAGTGAAACATTTCTCAGGCTGAATCTACGAGATACAATTCAGGTCTGGATGCAGAAAGCTACTGTCTTAAGCTACAGTAATGACAGAAATGCAGCCATTATCACACCAGCAGGTTTTTTATACTGGGGTGCTTCTTTTAACTTGACATAAATTCACATTTAGGAAAACAATTAGGACCATAAATTATAAATATGTAAAAAAAAAAAATCTAGTTCCATATCAAGATAGAGCACTTCTAAAACAAATCAGAGTCACAATAAAGATGACTGACCATAGTTCTTTCCTATTCAGAGAGGATTTTTTGGGAGATAGAATCTCCTAACTATTTATTAACATAGCAAGTCAAAGACAGTTCACATTAAGGAGACATAGAGAACAAAACAGTGTTATGATAACACACAGTAACATATACATTTTAAATATAAGTTTGAATCTGTATGACATAATTAAACCACAAATTACCTGAAAGGGCTTGCTAACTCCCCAGGTGTCAAAATTCAGTGTTCATAAACAACTTCTTCTATGACTAATCCTCTTTTTGTTTGAACTAACAGAAACTACAGCAAGGCACAGAAGGTAAGTTTTAGTTTTCAAACAGAGACAAGTTCATTTAGAGGCTTATATAGCTGCAATCAGTGTGAAATCACAACAGGATTCTGAGGTCATTGGCAGGTTTTTCTCAGAATCAACCAAAACTCCTGCAGCTGTGGCACTGTGATCAAGCTAAAAACCACCTTTCTCATGCTGGTACTTAACTTGATTCCCTACCAGCTCCAGTCCCAAGGTGCATGAAGGCTGTATACCTTCTACCCACGAGTTTTAGACCAGTTCACCTCCCGTTACGGGATGGGGGCAGAATGCATGATTCATAAGGAACACGTCTCTGATTTCCTAACTGGAAATGTGTTCATAGGGAGCTCACAGAGAAGACTTTGGTTTTGATTTGTCTGCTTCCAACCAACAGAAACATATGCTGAGACTTTCATTTGTGATAAGATCCATTCATCTATGCAGAGACCATAAAGTGCACAAGACATGTATCTAAATTTAAGCGAAGAGGGTAAGGTGGTCTGTTTTGGCCATGCCAGAGAAAGAAGAATTTTAAAGTGGCTGACATTATTTATAGTCCCTCACTAATGCTTTCAAATTTACATAAAATCTGCCATAAATTCCAATCTTCATCATCTTAAATTGACTCTCTTTCTCGATAATGAGCTTTAAATTTATAGGCCATACACTGGAAAACTAACACTTCTGTAGTCAGGTTTTGTGGTATGAGACTTTAGATCACTACGCTGGTTAATTTAAAAAATAAAAACACGTTAGGATATATTTCTCTGGTTACTTCTGAAATCTAATGAAAGTACAGTGACCAGTATGTGGGCAGTCATCTGCAAAACAGGCTTAGACCTCAAAGGTAGGGTAGAGAAAGGAGACATTTTAGCCTCTAAAAAAAGCAAACAATCAAAAACAAAACAAAAAACTTTAAGAGTGGAGAAAAGTTGAAAACCAGCAGTCTGCTGAATTAACAAAATAAGTCTTACATGCTAGATCAAGTTTCAGAAAAACACAAAGTTTATCTCTGAAGGTAGAGAGGGGAAAAAAGGAAATGGGGAAATAGATAAAATTTAGATTACAGAAAGAGTCAAGAAGGATTCTTTGACAGGAAACCTGTATTGTGTAAAAACAAGCTACATGTCCCCAGGGAACCTGTAAACCTGGGAGCTCCTGTTGATTTGTCAATCACAGTCAATTACTCATAATTTCCAGGCCATGTATGCTACAGTACACTCATGTAGGTGATCAGCTACTGGGTCCAAGGTAAGCATTAGAGATAGGGACCTGCTGCTTTATCTCTTGTTGGGTTGGCTTTATGGGCTGGGTTTTTTGGTTGGTTGGTTTTTTTTCTAACAGACCTTTGTGACTGCTTGCAGACTGACCTTAAGATAATTTTAAGATGTGTATCAGCAGAGACTCAGCTACGCAGTTGCCCACTCTTCTTTAATCTCCACAGAAGGTATCATTTATCCTCTATGAAGTCACATCTCAGCAGACATCAGAAAACACCAAAAGACAGCTGATCAGTAAACAAATCAAGAGCTCAGGCATGTGACCGAGTTCCTGCGTATCAGCTGAGTCACAGTGACTGACCTTGTCTGCTCTGGCTAATGTCAAGCTCAGATGAAAGTGGCTTAAGCTAATCTTCCCTGCCTGAGAGCTGTGA